CAACGCAGACCCTAAGCCGCTGGTTCTCCCCAGAGCAGGGCGGCTAAGGCTGGCCGTCGGAGTGGGCTACACATTTTAAATTTTGGCAGCTGATGCTTTTTATGTGGTAAGCACCCACTAAGAAAGATTTTTTGGGTAAATAATAACACAAGTGACGCCACAGGCAATAACTAGTTCAATTTATAACAAACTAGCTGACCTGCGCAACTTCTTCTGCGTCTCTCAATAGTAATAAATTTTCTCCGTTTTTGAAACATTCTTCATTGGTGCTCCGCTCCTATTGGTCTTAGCGTGATGATATATAGCCTATAGCCTTCCTCGATAAATGGGCTATCTAACACGGAAATAATTTTTCAAATCGGACCAGTAGTTCCTGTGATTAGCGCGTTCAAACAAACAAACAAACAAACAAACTCTTCAACTTTATAATATTAGTATAGATTCACCTGGTCACAGAAAAATAGAGTATATGTTTTATGGGACAAGGCTTCTTTTCCTAGTCGTGGCTTGTGGATTTGAACCCAATTAAGTTACAGATACCAATGACAGCTAACGTCAACCATTCGACATAATACGACGGACTATTGAAGACATTAATGAAGAAAAAATCGTACAAAGATTTCTGTTCATCAATAAACGTCAGATTGTGATAATAGAAAACTCTGTTCTCTCTGAAACGAAATCCTTGTCAAGGAATTAGGGTGTATTGTATCTGAATCACTCTAGACTGACTCGATAAACTAACTTCTTTGAATATAAATCATATTCTAAGGATGTAAAGTCTATATTCCTTGGTATACTATACATTGGCAGGAATATTTAAGTTAGTTTTTAGACTGGCGCAATGTAATTTTTGTCAATGATATATTACAGGTTTCGTCCATTTGATGGAGAAGTGCTTAGGTTATAATAGGTTATAATAGAAAAATTGAAAGAAAACATCGTGTAATGCACCTTTTTGTTAATACACTTGAGAGCAATAAATATGAATCACAAATTACAACTATATCACAAAAGGGGAATATATTACTTGTATTTTCTATTTGTATTTTTCTTAAAAAAGACAACTCCCGCATTAGGAATATATTCCTGTGTCGCGGGGGACTTTACAAACATACATGAAATGGACACAAAGAACACCCAGACTCAGAACAACAATTTGTGGATCACACAAATTGTCGTCCCATGTGGGATTTGAACCCACAACACTCGGCGCAGTAGGAAGCGGCGTGGCGACCGCTTAAACCACTACGCCATCCGTGCAGACAACATTTTTTTTTTAAATTAGTATTTTGTAATAGCTCCCCATACTGCCATTACCATAGTTATGCGATTCGGTATAATGCTGCACACCAAGTTTATTTCAACCTTCTCCCTTTCCTTTATGAGAGTAATTTTGTTTGAAAGTGTTTGTTGAAACATGATGTCAAACATCCTCATCTATCTTATTTCAAGCATGCGCGATCGAATATATGTAGGTCCGGGCTGCACGTAAGCCGCTCTATACAGTTAAGGTTCATTTTCACAATCCTAAGTGGATGCATTGCTCTCGAATGTATTGACAGGATTATAGCAATTTTTTTGCGTTGAATTGATACGTCGTTAATGCCCTGTGTGGACTGTGGCCAGACTTTGGTAGGCTAAGACACGGTGTAAGAAATATTTGAAAATGAAGATTGTATGGCAGTTAATTGTGATGTAGTAACGAAGTAACGAAAAAATGGTTTTTCTTCGAGCCCATGGTATCCTTTACGGCCGATCCGACCCAAAATATTGTGTGTCATGGCTCTGCCATGGTTTAGAAATATACAAATAAATAGTATTATCGTTAATTGTCCGTTTTTCTCTCCCCGATTTGTTATGATGAAGAAATTCATGAAACGGTTTAAAGATTTTATTAAACAAAACGGACAAAAATCTAGACAGGGGAAAAATTTCTAAAACCAGATAGACGATAATCTCTAGTGCTATTAGAATAATCTTCTTTTTCACGAAGTGTGCCCTTATCACACACAGAACTGTTAAAAGCTTTGATGGCCATTTTATTCTATTGAAGAAATTGTACTCGTAGTAGCACTATAGAGCCTCATGTGTATGGTGTTTACCAATAAACATTAATAATATACCCTCATCAGTGACTACCCCTACAGTGTCACTACCCCTATTCATCCTTTGGGTGTCGTAAGAGCTGACGAAGGGAACTAACTTAGCAGGACAATAGCACTGCAATGCGAAGGAAAACTTCAAATAAACCCTAAACCAACCCGTCTGGGCAGCGTGGTATAGTAGGCCAAAGCCTCCTTTCTAAGAAAAGAAGGTTTTGGCCTACTACCTTTTTTTTTCTTTTGTCCAGCAGTTGGCTACCAAAGGATGACGAGTTATTTACTTGTTCTTTTTTATTATAAGAAAGGTAGAGTCATCTTCATTATCAAATAATACTTTATTGTTAAAAAAAACTTAAAATGTTAAATTACATGAAAATGTTAAAAATTTAAATCACCGGTTTGTATATTTTAATTTAGTTTTGCTTTAGTCATTAAAACTAAAGTTAACCTGAAGATTATATTTATACAATAGGTATAAAATTATAGATAGATATACAATTCGGTTAGAGTTCTCGTAATTGCCGGGGAAAGCCAATTTCAGTAACTTTCGATGCGACCCAGACCTGTTCGAGCTCTTCCTTTCTCTTCCTAATCCATCCGTAAGAGCTATTTTCCTTCCTTCTGCATTTCCTTCTTGTTTAGTCTTCTTATTCTCTTTAATGTACTCAAAACTTGCCAATCTCTCAAGAACCCATTTGACGGTTACCCCATGTTAATTTTTTTTACAATATGGGTACACACTAAAAGACGGGTAAATCATCATCGTCATAATCATGCAGCTCGCAGGTGTATTACCGCCCCTTGAATATCCAATATCTTTATATCCGAGGGGGGCCTCGGATTACGGGGGAGAGGTGGTTTTGGCTCTGATAACCTCAATCACTCGGTGACCAACCAAAGAATTGCTTAGCACTGGTTTTCTGTGCGGCCGTGCTATCATTCCGTTCGAGGTCCGTTGGGGCCGAAACATGGCTCTCCCATCTGTGAGACTTAAAATATACTTTTTTTTCTAATCCATCCCTTCTCTACATATATATCTCCTCAAGGATACATTTAGAATCATCATCACACACATCACATCAACAGCCTTTAATAGTCCACTGCTGGACATAGGCCTCTCCTTAGAAAGGAGGTTTTGGCCTACTATACCACGCTGGCCAGACGGGTTGGTATAGGGATTGTATCAAGTTTTCCTTCTCTTTGCAGTGCTGGTGTCCTGCGTTGTTTTGCGCCCTTAGTCGCCTCTTACGACACCCACGGGATGAATTGGGGTAGTGACATTCCGTGTTCTTAATCCGTCACTACACGGACACATTTAGAATATATAAACGTAAACGAAGCTACACAGGTCAGATGATTTAAACATTTTTAATTGTAATACTAAAAATTCTGTTGATGATGTGATATTGAATATTCAAAATTACTGTTTGTTTCAATTTGGCATTGAAACAAAAAAAATATGTGAATATTCAAAGCATTTTGAAATATCAATTCAAAACCGCGATGATGTTATGATTGAAAAAGGCAAGGGATTGTTAGGATACATTGGTTATCTCATGGCTAGAACACGTAAAATGCGTAGCCATTGTCTATACATTGAAGAGTACTACAAGCCTCGCAGCTCATTGTTTGAACATGTTATGCGAATGCATAGAACAATAGTTCAGCTGACATAAATCATCACATCTATTATATTGTTAAAAGGTATATTGGAAAAAGTTTTCTACTCTATGGAGTAGCCGTTGCTTGCTGGTCACTACTGTGAATGAAGATTTCCCTTGATTGACCCTACCAAAACAGTATTTTTCTCAGATAAAAATCACCCTCTGAGGTTTTCTTTATCCCACATGTGAGAAAATTTTCATTACGATTTTTTTTTAATAGTTAACTTTGATAGTGTAATAAAGAAAAAAAATCATTCATACGTTAATAATTATAATATTCGTTTTTACAAGATATTTTTTTCTTAACTGAGGTCATAAAATAGAAAGGTTACCAATAATCTAAATTTCTCAGAATTAATAAAGTAAAATGTAAGCCTTTGAATTCATGGTTTAATTATCTAGAATTAACTTAATTAATACTAGCTGCTATGATCTACGGTGGAGAAACTTGTCCGCAAGCTAAAAGTCGACGAACTTTAATCTCTAAGCTGTCTCAAAGCTTTGAGTTTCCTTAAACGATAAAATGCGTAATAAGGTCATTCGATAAATAGTTTGATGGAAATGTCATTCGATTTTACCGACATAGTGCTGCGACATAGCTGAAGTGGCAAGGGGCTGGTCACATCATCAGAAGAAGCGATGACCGTTCAAGAAAAGTTCTTACAGTTGACCACAGATCGGAATATGGAAACGAATGCTGAAGGTGGGGGAAAATTTGGAAGAGGCCTATGTCTTGCAGTGGCCTGCGACGGGCTAATTAATTGATTCATCTTAATTAATTACAAAATAGATGATATATAAATATATAATAGTTTTATTTATAATAGATTTTCCCAAAACGACATTGATCGAATCATTAGATTACATGTAAATATTGTATAGTGTAGTTGCTTATATGTGAGGTGAATCGAAATGGGAGAAGTCGTTGTTTAAATGCAAAATTTACTCGATCGTGTGAAAAATCGACTTAGATGGATATTGTTGCGAAACTATCGTACAATCTATTAAACAATGTGTATGCCAAATGAAGTTAAATACTATGCATGTTAGACACAATTCCCATAAAGTACTATATTCTAATCAAATATAAATTAATGATCGCTGTTCTGCTCCTGTGATCGTGATACCTAACTCCTAACCTTTTTTTAGATATAAGCTAACAAATTCAAATCCTCAATCAAATCCAAACAAATCTTCAGATTTATTTAGACGATAAAAATATTCTACTTACCCTTTTCACGGTCATAATTTTCACTCTTCTTTTCAGTTTTGTGATCAGTTGAATCTGCTACAGCATCTGTTATTGGTTCAGTGGCCGTGAGTCCAACATCTGTTCCCGTAGGTCCAGATTACCGCTTGTAGTATATCAGTTATGATAGTATTTTGCTGCCGTCGAATCAGTTGTTTCCATTGTGGTATCAGTTGCAACGGCCGTGGGCACTGCTTTGTCCTGATTCGTACCTCCTGTCTCAGCAACTGTCGAATCCGTGGGTCGATAAGTCGTTTTACCCTTATTACGTTTCTTATTTTTCCTCTTTTTTGGAAAGAATAATGTAGGTTCTCCTTCTTTTCCGTCAAGGTCTGCAGGTAATAACGATATTCTTTCATTCTCGTCCATATTCGAAGGAGTAGACGTATACAATGCTGAATATTTTACTTTTTGATTATTTTTGGAATTACGAATTAATTTCGTTGTCAACGGTATTGGACTAGTTTCGTCCATATCATCATCATAAATCATAAACAGTTTAGGGTTTTTAAATACTGATAGCTTTCCAGTTTCAATTTGTTTATCTTTTCTTAACCTCTGTTTATTTGTTCTAATTGGTAATTGCGTCGTTGATGATAGCCTTGCTCGAGTCACTACATGTTTTTCTTCCGAAGAATCAGCTTTATCTTCATACTCATCGTATTCCGACAAATGCTTGTGAATTTTTTCCTTGCGTCTGTCATCGTATTTGTCTTGTTCTCCACTAAAGATATTAGCTTTAATCTTATCTCTTTCCTGTTCTTCAATATTCATTTCTTCTTCTTTTAGTTTTTCATTTATCACTTTTTGTTCTTTTGAATGACGCTCTTTTAGCTCATCAACACTGTCTAGTATACCTGTCTTTTTTGCCTCGTTCTCGTGCTCATAATCTATTGAATGAGGCTTAACCTTTTCACTATCACTCTCTTCATAATCTACGTCATCTTCGTATTTACGTAGTTTTGCTTTATTTGGTACATTTCCTGACTTTGTTTTTTTCAGAAGTAGGTTTTGGTGTTTTTTTCAATTGCTTTTCGAAGTTCGTTTTTAGGTTCTTTAGGGTCTCCCGCAACTTTTTTCGGTTTGCCAACTATAATATTGACAACTCCGTCTATATCCGAAAGCTCAGTGTGATTGACTGGTTTTTCTTTATCTTCTGCCTCACTTTTACTTGAATCAGACCACTCCTTCTTTTCATAATAATCATCGCTATCTGTATCTCCTTGCGCTTTATCGTAGTAATCATCACCTTCGGGCTCAACAGCCCTTAGCATGAATTCATAGGAGGTGCTAATCTCTTTTTCACTTTATTTTTTGATACCTGTTTTATTTCTGCAATATCTTCATTTTTCTTTAGGGTGGTAATAAGTCTGGGGGTAAAAGGTCACTTACATGTGTTTCACGTTTTTATTGCACTTTTTTGCCCCCACTGAACTTATTTTCAATGCTTCAATGTTTGTAATAATATAGATAATATAAAAGTATAAAAGTAACATTTTATTAAAACTGTTGATGCATAACTCCATTGATCACAGTACGAAGGTGATTGTGCGACGAAGGCGCGCGCGAATCACTGTTTGTGTTAGTCAAATCTACTATTATTATATTGTTTGAAAAACGATTCTCTTCGCCTCTAGAGCCGCACTGACTGGAGAATGGTTGTGGACCTGACAATTATATCTTATAGTATTGAGTTGATTCGATACCTATGATCCATTATAAATTGTTAGTTATAGCATGCAAGCATATGTATGAGGTTCAATTACAATTACGTTTTCATAAACAATATAATTTACTATTACCGATTGTTTCAGTAATATCAAATGAAATGTGAGACTCCTTTTATAAATATTCTATAATAACGTTGTCTTAAATGAAATATTTTAACTATGTATGTATACTTTTACTAAGAAAGGAATGAAATGACTAAATAAATAATAAAATATTACTTATGCAATATTTTACCTTTTATATTATACTCATGATCGCCGATTTGTAACTCAACCAGACCATTATTGGGATATTAGAACTCTCTAACAAATAAATAAATGTAAAGAATCATGTGACCGGCCGGTTGGTCTAGTGGTTAGTGACCCTGACTGCTAAGCCGGAGGTCGTGGGTTCGATTCCCACCCAGGAAAAATATTGTGTGATGAGCACGATCATTTGTTCTGTGTCTGGGTGTAATTTATCTATAATTTGTATGTATTTAAAAATATATAAGTATGTTTATCAGCAGTCTGGTTACCATAGCACAGGCTCTGCCTAGTTTGGGATCAGACGGCCGTGTGTGAGATGTGTGAGGTATATTATTATTATATTAACATTCAAAAAATTTTTTTTTATGGTTATATAAAGTCCAACAACAGTCTTTCTACAGTACTTCGATATCGACTAGTACTTGGGTTGTGGGGGTCTAATGGCAGTATCGTATTAGACTTAAAGCCGACCTCAGCCTAGTTTGAGAAAAAGGAGAAAGAGAAAGAAGATTTGAAAGTAAAAACTTTCCGACTTGTAAAAATATTTAAAAAGATTTACTTTTAGAAATAAATATCATTATAAGAGACAGCACAGTTTTTCTCACAATGCCTAAAACAGATATTTTTTTTAAGTCATTTTAAAATACGAGTTCCATCTCATTTCATTATTGTCCGTTCTAAGATGTTCTGGAAAAAAATGTTTACTAATATTTTGACATCTATTTTGACATACCTCGACACCTATGGACGTTTTGGCGGCAGTAATACCACCGCTGCAGAGGAAACTGGTGTTCAGCAGTGCCTTCAACTAAATAATTAAAAAACAAAAGTGTCGTATCCATACTTTTCTTACGCCCAAAGATGAAACCGTGAAGTTTTAGACGTTTAGTGCAAGGACACTAGCAGACCAACGTTTTGTGCTTGTACAATATTATAAAGGTATTATCATAACTATCGAGGACATAGTTTTAAAAATATTATATAGAGAACTGCGTCTAGTTGTAAAATATAGGTTATGATATGAGGATTATCTCTGTCAGATTGTACAGGCAATTTTTCTATAACTTTACATAAGATTCTAATGTATTAATTATATTACTATACTTCCCGTAAAGTAATAAAATAAACGCGGGCGAGCGGGACGGGCGGGCGCGGACGCTAAAAGAGGCGTGTTACAAGTTTGACATGTATGCGTGTCTGTCTCTGACATCGTAGATCCTAAACGAATGATACAGTAGACGTGGTCGAGATGATTCTAAGCGGTTACTTGTGTAAACTATCAGCTAATTTCTTAGTTGATGAAGGGATCTTACTAACTAACACAGTGCCGATTTATTTGAAATTTGGTGTACTGTTACTTTAGTGGTATTTCCATGATTTAGTCAAGGTTACTATGACCCACCTGATGCTGCAGCCAAACGTTGGGTTGATGCTGATGACGACGTCTTGAATTTTTTTTATTCGTGGTAATCAGTGCTCATCAGACAATAATTTGTCCTGGGTAGGAATCGAACTCACGACTTCCGGCTTAGCCTAACAACCACTAGGCCTAACAGATCTTAAAAGGATGTATTGGGGCATATTAGTAGTAGCTTGACCAGGTCGTGGTCATATACCTGTAAGTCAGACAGACTGTTCCCAGACAATCTGAGCCATACAAACTAATGTTTACTGAAAATCAAAAACTGTTATATATAATTGTTTTTAATATCAAATTATTTGCATTAATATATACAAATAAATATACAGGATGCAAGGAATGGTGAGTTCTGTTTCTGAGTCGAAAATCAATGTAATTTTCTGCCAATTCTAAGTTTTTTTTTTATTAATGATGGTCTGAATACACTATTTCAGTATACGTTACACCGTCTCTTAAACCCTATGTATATAAATGTTTTAATATTATCAAATTTATTCTTAGTATAAAATGAATTCACTTTACACACTTTGTCTGAATATTTGCTAATTTCTCTACGCAATTGATTTTCATGCATCATCTAAAAGATGGTGAAATCTGTAAATATATATAAAGTAACCAAGTCGCCGAAAAATAAATTTACATGGATTATATAAATTTTAAGAGCTGCTTCAAAACAATAATCTATAAATAAAATACATACGTGCTTGAGATATTTATGTAGGTATTATGGTATTATGTAGGTATTAGTAGGTTAGTGATTGTTCATTAGGCCAATAAATTCTTAACTTGTGAGTGTATCATAAGGTGTGATGCGCTCACAATTTGAGAATTTATGGAAACGCAGCGTTAAAACGCTCGTCTGCAATCCAAGGCTACGTGACGAAAGCATCTCGTGTGACGATTAAACGACCGTCCACAACTCTTTCGCTAATGTCACTGACCTCTCTACTCTTTTGATCTACATTATTTAGTAGAACGTTACGTTGTTACGTTTTAGCAGAGCTGAATTTACAAAAAATAATAATTGAATTCTTTAGTGCTGTACATAATTATCTAAGAAAATGATCGTGGGAGAGTCATGCTTTAGCACAAATAGGCCGGCCTGACTGGAGTGATACCAGGGCTTGAAACGGAAAATGGAAAAGATCCTGTAAAAGGTAATTTTTTCCTTTTAGGTAGGGAAAAAGACATACAGCTCAACGTACGCATACCATCTACTCCTTTTTTAGAAGTCCGTTAAGAACAACAACTTTCATGACTTTAAACGGTAATGTTGCTCATTTATTTATTTGCTCCGTGTGGTGACGGATTAAGAGTGTCACCACTCCTATTCACCCCATGGGTGTCGTAAGAGCTGACTAAGGGAACAAACTACGCAGTAGAACAGCACTCCAAAGAGAAGAAAAACTTGAAACAAATCCTATACCAACCCGTCTGGGCAGCGTGGTATAGTAGGCCAAAACCTCCTTTCTAAGGAGAGGCCTATGTCCAGCAGTACTCCCACGGACGTCGTGTTGCCAGCCATAGACCATCGTGTTTTTGTGGAGCTTACCCTTTTCATGCATACATAGTCAGTTAAGTGTAATGAGCTAAGAGTGCGTTGGGAATTCTCACTTGCTATGTATGTAGCTAAAATCTTGAGGAGTCAGGTGTGTAACAAGACAGTGCTTTAGCGCCTGAGCCTCGGTGTGCCGGTGACCGCTATGTGTGGAGGAGGCGACATTCACCGGTGCTAGTCTTCCCTGCGGCCAGCACCAACGAAAATGCCATGCGCCATTACTCGCGCAATTCGAGTAATCAACGAGGTTAGCCCTAGAATGTTTTTGTTTTTAAAGACAACTCCCGCATTATGAATATATCCTGTGTCGCGGGGGGCTTAACAAACATACATGAAACAGACACAAAGAACACCCAGACTCAGAACAACAATTTGTGGATCACACAAAGTGTCGTCCCATGCGGGGTTTGAACCCACAACACTCGGCGTAGTAGGAAGCGGCGTGGCGACCGCTTAAACGACTACGCCATTCGTGCAATCAAAAATATATGTATTCTCGTGTAACTCGAGTGAGTTCACGAGGTTTATAATAAATGTAGTATCGTACTCGTATAACTTATAAGATATATTTTTTTATTTCTCGTATGATTATTTGGCTATTTTTTTATGTTTAGTTCCATTTCTGTTATTTTAAAATTATTTAATTACGTCTTGAATAAGTTTAATATTAGTTGTAGCCCCACAATCTCATTGGGTTTTCTGTAAGGATTGTGTGGGATGTGTTTGTGATAAATAAATTAATAAAAGTCTTATCCGAATATGGCAAATTATTACCTCATATTGCTCATATTTTACAGACTATAATTTAAGTCTCACTTACGTAATAATTTTATTATTTATTTATTTATCGATTGCAATATTAAATCTGCTTACAATTATTTACCAAATTGCTTAAATCTTCGCTGTCTCTATACAATAACTTACTTACTTAATTTTACTTAAAAAGTTACTTAATTTATCATCAACAGCCTTTAACATTCTACTGCTGGACATGGGACAGTTTAATTAAATAACCTTATCGTATATAATGAAGTAACTAATTAAACGAACGAAATTAAATAGCGTAATAGTGGTAGCGTATGCGACTGCTGTGCGAGACCTCAGCTTTAGGGTTCGATTCCCGGGTCTTAACAAATTTTTGTATGATCTGCAAATATTTGTTTCGGAGTTTGAGTGTTTTCTATGTATTCATGGTACAAGCTCCGCTTAGTTTGAAGCTAGATGGCGTTGTGTGTCAGATGTCCGAAATCTTATTATTATCATATAATTATTTCGGCCAGGGATTCAACCATATCCTTACACTAGCTAACTTCGTCT